GCGACTATTCAATATAGAAACAGACACAGATAAAGAGAGAAGGAGAGAGACCGACCAGCAGGAAGACATAGAAATAAAAAGAGTGAGGAAGACAGACAGTCAGACCTAGAAATAAAAAGAGTGAAAGAGAGAGACACAAAGAAAATAAGACTGAGAAAGAGAGACGTAGAGACATAACAGTGAGAGAGAGAGAGACCCCGGGCACCGCCGGTTACTCCTTCCAGACTATACGTGCATTCTAGAAGGAATACCCAACAGTGATCTGGGTCTGATGCAGTCCACAATTTTCTTAGGTAAATTAAGGTAATTATAATAAGAAAGCGAAATTATCCCTTCCAAGTGCTGACATATAGCATTGGGAAGGGATATGAGGATAAGGATTTGGGAAACGACAAAGATTCAATATTGCCCAACACCTTGGACGGTCCGGGACTGAACGCCGACCTGTAGAACAATAACTTTACATTCACTTATCGGTGATTCGAACTTTGGATATTAATATACGGGACCGCCGTCCTGCCAACCCAGCCCTGGATGCTTAGATTGAAGAGGAACTTAAGATGTACCAGACAGTTTAAAATCTCACAAGAAAGACGGGTCAGGAATCTTGATACGATCAACAATACTGTTAGTGCCATATGAGATGCAATCCGCAATTACGCGGGAAATAATATTTCATTTACTCCTGTTATCTGGATCCCTTAGTGGTGATTAATATGTTAAAGCAGCTCCACGACTATTGAAGTTTATAGCATAAACAAATTAACTGAATTAAAATGTGTAATTATTAAGACACATAATAATTTGTTCTTGAAATTTATCACAAGTAATAATAACAAATAAACTCAAGAACTTATGAAAATAAAAAAATTAAACATCTGAATAAAAACGAATATTTTTACTAAAGAGGAAGAAGGACTGATCATCGACAAGACTAAAAATATATGGGACTGTTCAAAAGTCTATTATTCGTTTCCAAAGGTAATAAGTTAAATCACAGCTGTTTGTAGAGGTATTTTATTTAAAATAATAATGGTCATGAATCAGTGACGACATCTGTGGTCAGATCCAGTCAGTTATAGGAGTCGGGAGTTTCACCTTCCATAACCTGAAGGAAGAAAGTAAATGTTTCTCATTAGTATCATTATATAATACGAATCAGCTCGATTTGTAGATTATTTTATATAGTTCTAATATTTATTCATATGTTAGTAAATTATTCAATGTAACTGCACTGCATAAACTGCATTTTACTGTACTTACCGTAGCCATACCGGCGGCCATATCCACCGAAACCACCGCCAAATCCTCCAAGTCCACCGCCGAATCCGCCTAGGCCACCACCGAAGCCTCCAAGACCACCGCCGAATCCACCCAGACCGCCGCCAAATCCTCCAAGACCACCGCCGAATCCACCACCGAAGCCTCCAAGACCACCGCCATAGCCTCGTCTATAGATGATGCCGGGAGCACCATAGGCAACGGCCACCATCACGGCCAACACCGTCAGTACTGAGAGGAAACGCTGTCCAAGGAAAGAGTAACGTTTGCATGAAATTACGATAAAAAACGATGTAATAAAATCATTATAAAGAAGCTATCTACGGAATTCATTATAAATAAACTACTGAAATCACTATAAATAAGCTATCTACTGAAATCATTATACAGAAGCTATCAGTAATAGGGATCTAATTTGCAAAAATCACATGTAGTAGGTGCAACATTTACCATGACTGTAGAAGTTGTTGTTTTGTTGAGGAGTGAAGCTAGAGTGATGCCAAGGAAGGGTGTGCAGGACCTTATATAGGACGGCCGACGCCTCCCACCCACCATAACCTTCACCAGTGCACCTTTCCTGTTCTGTCACAAGACAACATTGTTACTATTATTTAATTTTCAAGGGAAGTGAGATAGACAGCTTATAAGTTACAGTTAATCTTCTATAGTTCGGTAGCAGTAAAAAGTTTTTTTTTCCTTTGGAACTTAAGAGTATATATATATATATATATATATATATATATATATATATATATATATATATATATATATATATATATATATATATATATATATATATATATATATATATATATATATATATATATATATATATATATATATATATATATATATATATATATATATATACTGAAAATTCACACCCCAGAAGTGACTCGAACCCATACTACCAGGAGCACTCTGCTGGCGTACAGGATCCCTTAACCGCTCGACCGGACAAAAGGGGATGGTAGCCGAGGCTATTTCCATCCCCCCGCCGGCACTTGGTTGGTAATCTTGGGCATGGCATTTTATCAAATCACCTCATTCTTTGGGGCACACGTGAGGAACACAAATGCGAGCAGGCCTGAATGGTCCCTAGGACTATATGCAACTGAAAACTCACACCCCAGAAGTGACTCGAACCCATCGAGTCACTGATATGATATATCTATTTTTCATAGATTTCGATTGATTTTCATTTTGATATAATTATTTTTCTGTGACATTGTTTTGGAATTGAGCTGTGTTGTTTATCATACCGTTCATTTCTTATGTATCAGTATAGATGCCACACACCTGTAACAGGTAAAAACATTCTTTATTAAGAAACATCGCCATCTGTTGCACGTAAGAGAAGCACACATTATACTAAATACGTCACGATTTCATTTCAATGTATCCGATTTCATTAATAAATTGAATTTTCACAGATTTTGATTTATTTTCCATTTGATTTAATTATTTTGTGTGACATTGCGTAGGAATTGAGCTGAGTTGTTTACCATACCGTTCATTTCGTGAGTATAGTTTATTTTTTGTTTTCATTTTTCATTTCGTTTTTAACTGTTTTTCTTATATTTCAGTGATGGAACATCAGATCATTTGATGTTCCCAATTTTCTGATGGGAACATCAGATCATTTGGGAATGCATCGGACGAGGGAGTGGAGAATGGTGGGGATGACGAGGGGATAGGAGTGGGGGATGGTGAAGAGGACGAGGGAACAGGGGAGGGGGTAATAGTGGGTAGAACGGGGGGGTGGAGAAGTTGGGGATGAGGGGGAATGGGGGATGGTGTTGAGGACGAGGGGACGGGAGATGGTTGGGGAAGACGAGGAGACGGTGGAGCGGAGAATGGTTAGGAGGACAAGGGGATTGCTGGAGCGCGGGGATTGTGGGGAGCACAAAGGGACGGGGGAGGGAGGGAATGGTGGGGAGGATGAGGGGACAGGGGAGTGGGGAATGATTTGGAGGACGCGGGTATGGGGCAGTGAGGAATGGTTGGGAGGACAAGAGGACGGGGGAGGGGGGAATGGTGGGGAGGACTGGCAAACAGGGGAAGGTTGCTGTTACTCAGCAACGCACATGCGTTACTGAGTAACAGCAATTGAGTATTAACAGCAACTGAGTATCAAATGTTAAAACACAGTTTTAAAACATGTGTTTTTCCTGTCACAGACGTGATATCTATATAAAATGTATATAAAAATCCGCTTAGATGCGAATGGAACGTTGTGTGAAAATTTCAAAGGAATCGGTGATTTGGCCAACTTCCAGCTTTTTCCACTGTTGTTCTGATAGGCTTGTGAGTGCAGGTACGGCATAGTCGTTCACTTATCTGACTGCCTGTACATAGTAAGTGCGAAGGACTTGCAGATTGGCTCCTCCAGAGAGCGAGGTTAGCGGCCTGAGGATTGCCGTTCGGGTTGCAGTTCTCTCTCTCAAGTAAGTGACTTCTGCATTAATAATTATATGTCCATGATTATTCCTAGATACTTGGATGTTGGGCTTTATTATTTTTATCGGCATGGCTTTTTGTCTTTGTGGGATTGAGTTTGATACCAATCTGCTTTGTCTCTTCACAGATGCAGTCTAAAGATTTGGATGCAAGATGCGCTGCATCCCTTCCGTTTATGATGGCAGAAAGGGAGATGACATTGTATAATGTCATCATTATACTTTATGAGTCATCATTTTACATTATGCAAATTTATCTTAAATATACATCTGAAAGAGGTGAAGTTGTGTGAAGGGTAAGGTGAAATAATCACACATAGGTGAAGAAATAGGGAAATAATTGGGAAGGATGACACTCAAACACTGGGTAAGGCGGTGGGTTGGGTGAGCTTGATAGAGATGTAGTTATCTGGTGCTGTATGGTGAGGTCTGGATTTGAGCGTAGAGCTACATGTCTAACTATCAACATATCTATATATTCATCTAATTATCCATCTATTTTTCAATTTATCTACTTATTCATCTATCCATTCAAAATCTATCTATCAATCCACCTACTCATCTCTCTATCAATTTTATCGATCTATCTTTTTTTATTGACCTGGACATATATTCTAGGTCTATCGATGGATTCGTCTATCCATCCACCTACTCATCTGTCTAACCACCCATGCACCTACTTTTCTTTCCATCCATTAACTCATCTTGCTAACACTGCCTCTATCCATCCATCGATCCACCTACTGTCTGTTTCTATCTTACTCTGTCCTTATCTCTGTTTCTATGTCTATCTTATAAAAAAAAACATATGCCTAATGTGTGGGTGGTCGCCAGTAAAAGGAACTTAGTGGTGTGAAATGCTACAAAAATAATACTTAACCCTTACTAAGATAAAGGATTATGGCTTGAGAAACTTTGAAGCTGTGGAAGAATCGTCTGTTTTATGCGAATACGGACATATTATTGACAGCAGGAAATTTTTCAACCTCTGTGATTATTGGTGCATATTTCTATAAGAATTTTTTTTCACAAGTTTGTTTCGAAAATATTTAGCTGTGTCGAAAATTAGAAAGTCGATTTTTGTCAATGAAAATTCTATTTTTTTCCCATCATAATTAGCTGACACATTTAAGCATGTTAAATTTCCTTTTTCACAATATATAAAAAAAAAAAGATCGATGATCGAGCAGGAATAAAAAATGTTTGTGTGTGTTCAAAAGTTTGTCAGTCATTTGCAAAAGGAAGTAAGTTAAATCACAGTTTTATGCAGATGAAATATATTTAAAAGAATAATGATCTTGAATCAATGACGATATCTGAGCTCAGATCAGATGTCAGCTACAGAAGCCGGTATCTTCACCTGCCATAACCTGAAGAGAGGAAGAAAATGTGTCTCATTAGCATGATTTTAATATAAAGCAACTGAATTTAATCTTATGTAATTTATTATATGCATTTGTTTGTTAATAAATTGTTAAAGTAGTGTAACACTGCTTAAACTGCATTCTAGTGTACTCACCATATCCATACCGGCGGCCATATCCACCGAATCCACCGCCAAATCCTCCTAGTCCACCGCCGAATCCTCCAAAGCCACCACCAAATCCACCCAGACCTCCGCCAAATCCACCAAGGCCACCACCGAAGCCTCCAAAACCACCGCCAAAGCCTCGACTATATAGGCCGGGAGCACCATAGGCAACGGCCACCATCACGGCCAACACCGTCAGTACTGAGAGGAAACGCTGCCCAAGGAATGAGAAAAGTTTGCATGAGATTAAAATACTAAACGACAATTCTTAAAGTCATTATTACGTTGACATCAGTAATAAAGATCTAATTTTTAAAAACATCACATATAGTAGGTGTAACGTTTACCATGGTTGTAGAAATTGTTGTTTGGTTGAAGAGTGAAGTTAGAGTGATGCCGAGGGAGGGTGTGCAGGACCTTATATAGGACCAGCGACGCCTCCCACCCACCGTAACCTTCACCAGTTCACCTTACCTACTACGTAACAGGACAGCCTTGTTATTATTATTGAACCTTCAAGGGAGACTGAGGTAGACGCCCATAGGTTACAAACTGTTAATCTTAAATGTTTGCTTCGCTAAAGAGAGGGTGAGATTGCTGTTGGTACATAATTAGGGGATCAAAATTTTTCTTTCTGTAAGCTAATAAAACAAATATTAATATTAATTCTATTAGGGATATAACAATAACTATATAAAAAATTATATAAACTGTAATAAATAAATACTCCTGTACAATCTGTTCGTCTATTACATAAACTTTTCTCAACTTCTTACAAGGCAGAAGAAAGAAACCCCGAAAGAAATAATTGAATGAAACTTGACCAACACTGAACAGACGCTACAGCTCAATATTTGGCAACAAAAATAGGAGGTTCTACTTTCTCACAAAGAAATCTTGTCACCTAACAAAATTCATAGAAAAATACTAAAGTTGTCTGACATTTGCATGCCTCCCGCCGAAGTGTTAACCCCACACTCTCAATATTTTGGCAGGATGACAATGTCTCTTTTAATGAACTTAATAATTTACAAACAACAGAGAGTCCCATTAAATATCATACCATGATCTTAGCAGAGTAAATTTGTCCTTTCTAAGTGAAGCTCAGAAGAAATATAGAGAAGATTCATGCATTAATCTTAGATCTAACTCCTTCGGTCACATTTAAACACACACACAAACACACATCAATACATTATGATCACTCACTCCCAAGGGGGCTTCCAACTTAACTTCCCTTATATCCGACTCATTTAGGGTAAATATCAAATCAAGCATAGCTGGTTCATCCTCTCCTCTCATTCTTGTCGGTCCCTTGATGTGTTGGCTTAGAAAGTTTCTTGTTGCCACGTCCAGCAGCTTAGCTCTCCATGTATCTGGTCCTCCATGTGGGTCTCTGTTCTCCCAATCTATCTTCCCGTGGTTGAAGTCTCCGTGTGTGTGTATGAAGAAGAAGTTTCACACTTCTTCACACTCCGTGAAGAAGTGTGTGTGTGTGTATTCACCTAGTTGTATTTGCGGGGGTTGAGCTTTGCTCTTTCGGCCCGCCTCTCAACTGTCAATCAACTGTTTATTAACTACTTTTTTTTTACACCACCCACGTACAGGAAGCAGCCTGGGGTGTGTGTGTGCATTCATTCGAGCTGAATAGAACAAAGGCTCTATTCAGTAGAGTATTAATTGCACTTTTCTTAAAAATGTCAGGAACAAAAGAATTAAAATATAAACCTAAATCAGTAAAAGTTGGTTTTCTATAAACATTAGTGTTAAACCCATTAAGGTAATTCACTTTGACATCAAGAAACGGCAACGAATTATCCATTTCACACACTGCAGTGAAACGTGTATTACTATGTTGTGCATTAAGATACACTCTAAATTTCTCAATATGAAATTGGTTCTTAAATAACAAAAACGTGTCATTTACATATCTCCTGTACATGACTGGTTTAAAGACCAAAGGACATTTATTAGGCCAATTTCTCTCATGAAAACTCAAAAAAGCATTAGCAAGTGCAGGACCTAATGGAGAACCCATTGCTACTCCATCAGTTTGTTTATAATATTTATTATTAAACAAGAAAACAGTCTTTAACCGCCAATTCTAACAACCATCTAAATATCTTACTACAAAATCCTGACACTAAATTAGTGTCAGACAATTACTGATTTACAAGAAAGATTTACTACACAAATGTCAGAAGTTTCCAACAGAGGACAATTAGTTATCTTGAGATGATTTCGGGGTTTAGCGTCCCCGCGGCCCGGTCCTCGACCAGGCCTCCTTTTTTGTTACACACCCCCAGCAAGCAGCCCGTAGCAGCTGTCTAGCTCCCGGGTACCTATTCACTGCTAGGTTAACAGATGCATCAGGGTGAAAGAAATATTTTGCCTATTTGTCTCCGCCTCCAACAGGGATCGAACCCGGAACCTCAGGATTACGAATCCGAAGCACTGTCCACTCAGCTGTTAGGCGTCCTGTCGTAGTGAAGAGTGATTCTACATCAACACTAGCCATTATAGTCGGAAACTCAAAATTTACTGAGGAAATTCCTTTACAAAATCCTGAGAATTTCTCACAGTAAATTCATTACAAGTTAATGGTTCTAATAATGGAACTAGACACTTTGCCATTTTGTAATTAAAAGAACCAATCGCTGACAAAATAGAACGAATAGGTATACCTGTTATGAACCTTAGGCAACCCATATAAAAGGCCCGACTGAGAGACAGTTGCAAGCATTTTTGTATGATCAAAGAGAACGTCTTTCAGACTTCTTACAGCTCTCTTCAGTTTATCTTCACATTTCAAAATATACGAAAAGGGGTCTATATTAACCAACATTAGTTTAGAGGGGTCTTCTAACAATCCTTAAACCTTATTCACATAATCTAACGTATCCAAAATCACTACACCCCTACCTTTATCTGGTCTAAGAATACAAATACTCCTAACATTCTTTAAACCGTTGTTACAATCTAATTTCCTTTTATCAAATGGAGGGAATGTAGATTTATATTTATCAAAATTATTAGAGACCTCGTGTGCTAAGGAAGAAACAGTGCTAACAATATTTGTCCAACTATAATTTGTACCAGTTCTCAGGGTGCAAATTTAATTCGGTTGACCCTATTAAGATGGTTTTTAATTTTTCAAAGAGAATTTTGTCTCCCACCGAGAAAGAATTTCTCTCTCTAGGGTTAGACTTCGGGTTGACGTGTAAAAAAAAAATAACCATTTTTTAGGTTTTGAACGGTTATGTAATTCATTAAAACTTGTACCCTGAAGACTGGTACACACAATGAAGTGTGTGATTCAGTTTTGTTAGTTTGATGGAGGAGAATAGCGCTAAGGCTGGATAAAATGCAATATATTAATTAATAACATATTACCATGCTAGTGAGTGGGAAATGATTTGTCCTCTCAGTTACAGATAATAATGCACAAAAAAGTTTATGCAAATTACTCTTTTTATCACAATTTCAAGGACAGTGATACACTGTACCCAGCGACCTTAGGACCCAAGTTACCGGGGTTTGCCGTCCACGTAGTAAAAACCAGTTTTCTTTGAACATAACATTTTTTTGTGCTCACCTAGTGTAATTACCGAAGTGTAGTTACAGGATGAGAGCTACGCTCGTGGTGTCCCGTCTTCCCAGCACTCTTTGTCATTTAACGCCTTGAAACTACTGACGGTTTTGGCCTCCACCACCTTCTTACTTAACTTGTTCCAACCGTCTACCACTGTTTGCGAAAGTGAATTTTCTTATATTTCTTCGGCATCTGTGTTTAGCTAGTTTAAATCTATGACCTCTTGTTATGTAAGTTCCTGGTCTCAGGAAATCTTCCCTATCAATTTTGTCAATTAGTGTTACTATTTTGTAAGTAGTGATCATATCACCTCTTTTTCTTGTCTTCTAGTTTTGGCATATTTAATGCCTCTGACCTCTCCTCGTAGCTTACCTAGCTACGAGAAGACGAGAAGATAAGCCCCCGCAAGCACAACCTCAACTAGTTGTGCTTGCGGGGGGTTGAGCTCTGGCTCTTTGGGCCCGTCTCTCAACTGTCAATTAATCAACTGATTTTCTTTAAAAAAAAATAGAGAAGATTAATGTGTGAATCATTGATCTCACCCTTCCTAGTCGTATTAAAGAAGAAAAAAAGGTTATATATAAATATATATATATATATATATATATATATATATATATATATATATATATATATATATATATATATATATATATATATATATATATATATATATATATATATATATATATATATATATATATATATATATATATATATATATATAATTGGGAGTTTATTGCCCTAGAGGGTGTGGAGGAACTAAAATTATGATACCCATTGCAAACGAGTTTTTACAGAGTTAGTGGGAAAACCCCGCGCCAGCGACCAGCAGTCCTGTGTACAACGGGTGCTGCTTTTGCTGACATTACATTCCCAATATGTATTTTTTGCAGTCATCGCTGAGGTGAAGTGTAACAATGAATAGGAGTTATATAATGTTATTTTTTCCGTGTACGGTATAACAATATTGAAAAACGGTCTTCTGGATGTATTCTCGTGCCCTCTGAGACGCTGCATATCCACCATAGCAACACACACCAATATAATGCAGTCATCTCTCTCCTCCTTAGGAGCTGAGTGGACAGCACGCTGAATATGTGATCCTGTGGTCCCGGTCTGGCACTTTTTTTATTTTTAGAAAACAATCTAGTTTTCTCTTGAAGATGTCTATGGTTGTTCCGGCAATATTTTTTATAGTCGCTGGGAGGACGTTGAACAACCGCGGACCTCTGATGTTTATACAGTGTTCTCTGATTGTGCCTTTGGCACCTCTGCTCTTCACTGGTTCTATTCTGCATTTTCTTCCATATCGTTCACTCCAGTACGTTGTTATTTTTCTTTGTAGATTTGGGACCTGGCCCTCCAATATTTTCAACGTGTATATTATTTGGTATCTCGTCTTCTTTCTAGAGAGTACATTTTTAGAGCTTTGAGACGATCCCAATAATTTAGGTGCTTTATCTCGTCTATGCGTGCCGTATACGTTCTCAGTATTCCCTCTATTTCAGCAATCTCTCCTGCTCTGAAGGGGGAAGTGAGTACTGAGCAGTACTCAAGACGGGACAACGCAAGTAATCTGAAAAGTACAACCATTGTGATGTGATCTCTAGATTTGAAAGTTCTCGTAATCCATCCTATCATTTTTCTGGCTGACGTAATATTTGCTTGGTTATGCTCCCTAAACGTTTGGTCGTCGGACATCATTATTCCCAAATCCTACTATAGGCAGATTCGATTGTGTTTTGTACCCTGCATTATGTTTCAGGTCCTCATTTTTGCCGTTTAGAGTGCTTGGAATTTATCGCTGTTAAACATCATGTTATTTTCTACTGTCCAATCGAAAACTTTGTTAATAT